GTTAAAAATAGGAAAATATAATAATTAGACTCCTTTCTGTTGCTATTTTTTATGTTCATGTGCATACAGTTAAAACATCATTGTAACACAACAGCTTTTTGGCATCTTTGCGCCACAAAATATACTCATTGTATCAAATGAGAAAACCCTAATGTAGGGTCTTGCCCTCCATGGATGAGTACCATATTATTTTGTTGTGTGTTGCATCCTTACAAAATGACGGAAGCAAAACCACTCACTACTTGGCTTTTAGTGTAACTCAGGTGCAGTGCTAAAGTCCTCACTCATATTCCTGCTTTTAGCACCCCAACGTGTCAAAACGTCCCATTTTAGGTGACAATGCAATATCACACATCTAATCTGCGGCTGCATGGGTGGGGTGACTGACAGCAGGACACTCCTGCTCAATGCTCATATATACTCTGACATACCCCATACAGCTGGAGAGCTATTCATCACCAGCAGAGAACAGTGATCTAAGTACGCAACGATAATGCAAACACATCTACTTATGGTAAACCCATTATGATCATTCTGTTCTTATGCATAATCATTATATATCCAGGAAACCAGCAGGGTTGGGAGGGTTAGACCTACTTTATAAATGTGTCCTGATACAATCACCATCACAGGCCTATGTGTTAAAAAATCTAAACAGTAACCTAATCGAAGTATCCCAATATTAAGGTAACTTTTGGATTACCTCAATACCTAATACAGAATGAAATTCCCTACCAAACGGAATTTCGTTGTACCACTACAATGACAATAAAAAGCTCTTTATCTTTATCTCTTTATCTTCACAGCATCTTGGTCACCACTATAACCACCAACAGTCCCAAATTATTTTTTCAGTAGTAGTATTAGTAGTATTGACAGGTTACCTAGGCTAGCTAACTCTTAGCTTCAGTTACCTGTGTGTAGCTAACGTTAGCGGTTAGTCTCACCTGCAAATGTGTATTTAAATTAGCTATGGATTCCTTGGATGATGACAGCATATTCACAGCTGGAAGGCACTATCCAGTGATCTTGTTCCCTTTAATGCTTCACATATGAAATAACGGCCAAAGTTCCACGCAGTGAGAGCATGTTTTTCACTAACATTAGAGGCCATTGTGTGCATGGTAGTATCACGGGCGGATTATGAGACAGTGGGCTCCTGGGCGCAGACATGCAATAGACCCAACCACCTCTCCCACATAGGAGCCAGACATAGTCCTTATAGTTGTTTAACTTGTTTTGTAGTTATTTTGTGTCTTTTTTGTGTTCATTTTGTGAATCTTTGTAGTTGATTTGTGTCTCTTTGCAGCTATTTTGCATCTCTTTGTAGTCTTTTTGTTTTCATTATATGTATTTGTCTCACATACGTGTCTCTTTGAGTAACATTTTATAGGTAGGTGAAGGTTAGGTCAGTAATCTGTCCAAGGGTAGTATATTGCTCTTTATTTACACATTTATTTTAAGGTTGTAATCCTGCAAATAATCCCCATTTGTATTAAATGTAACAGTGATGTGATTACATTTTTTATGTAACAGAATACAGTTACCTTTTTGTATCCTAATTACATAACGTTGTTCCATGTATTCCGCCTGGAAACCAGACATTTTATTCTGGATTTAGAGACTAAATACTGCAGTTCTTAAAGTGTAAACTATGTGGAACAAAGTACTTTACTGTTATATATTGTACTGTTTATTGACACACTGACTACTTTTGTACCACTATTGTACTTAAGGTTTCACAATACCAACAAATTCTGTATCAGGCAGACATGACAGAACTGTAATGAAAAAAAAAAAACATGAGTGAAAGATTGATTTTTAAAGTATATTTTGACGAAAACATTTTCCCACCCTGGCCACCATCTTAAGCTTTTAATGTGTGGTGTTCTTTTTACATCTTGCCAGCCAGAGAGAAGCTGTTACTTTTGTTAAAAAACGTACATTCAGATTTTGAATGAATCTTGGAGCCGTTCCTTCAGGAGGTGCCACTGTAATGTACCCTGGTTTCTGTTTTTAAGCTTCTCCAACAAATAACTTTGGTGACTTGTTACCTTTTTACCATGAGATCAAAAATTATCCAATACTTTGAGTTTTAACCAAATAACCTCAAAATTAATGACATCTCCATCAGCATCAGCTGTACTTTGCATTTTGTGCGAAATGTTAACATGCTAACACACTAAACAAGAATGGTTAACATGGTAAGCATTACAATTAAACATCAGCATGTCAGTATTGTCATCATGAGCATGTTAGCATGCTCATGAATCTACAGCCAAGCTTTACAGCATGGCTGTAGATTCTTAGTCCTTTTAAAACACTTAATGTGGCCTAACCTCGTTCTACAGCCGCAAAACAGTCTCATGAGTGGAATGACGGGCCTTCTCCTCTCAGTCCACCATTTGAACAAAGTCTCAACTTTGGTTTAGACTTTGGTTCTAAACCAGTAATCCAGGGGGAAATAATAGACAGGGGGTTAATAAGGATGATAGTCCTTTAAATGCATAAGAATGCAATGCATGTTTTTCACACACAAAGCACAAAAACTTTGTTAGGATTTCCTAGAAGATCTTCAACCTGTTACGTACAGAGCACCAGACAAAAAACGTCAAACAAACCTAACCAATAATCGTAATAACAGGTGAATTTCCCTCTTTCACATAAGCCTTGTTTATAAATCCATGCTGCCTCCAGTATGAAAGACACTGACTGACGGTCTCGATGGAGACATCATGTGAGCTGGCAGCAGCACAGGGCCCCCGAGTGTAAAAGCTGTTCCCTGTGTTCAGAGTGAAAAAAACCTGCTTTGTGCTGAATCAAAAGCTCTCCCCTGGTTTCTCTATTCTCCTCCTGGCTGCGCATCTCTGTGACAGCGCTTCCAGGAGCCAGACCACCACACTTCCCAACACCAAAACCCCTCTCACCCTCTCATTTCTGTCCATTAGCAATCCAGAAGGGGAGGTTTTGCTGTAAAAAACAAACAACAACAAACAAAAGACCAAAGTGGGGGCGAGGAGAGCGGAAGGGGTGAGGAGGAGGAGGAACTTCTGTGTGAAATAATTGCGAGAAACAATTTCAAACAGATGTCTGTTTGGACTTGGCCCTGGGCTCGTGTCCCCGTTAAATATAGTGATTTGATTGGAAAACAAGCAGCGTGAGGTGGGCTGGCGGCCAGCCGGACCATTCGGGGCCTCTCTAATGACCCCCAAGGGTCGAAGGGTCGTCGGAGTAAAAGCAGATCAGAGAGGATGTGAGGCTGGCGGCCAGGACAGGGCCCATAAATCTAGCCCATTCTCAGAGGAAGCTATCTTTTTTCACTCCGCCATCAAAATTAAAATACAATCACAATCGTCACATTGTGCTCCCGCCAGTGTGCAAAGGTTATAATACAAAGCTAGCAGACAGAGTTGGGAGGTTGGGTTGGGTGGTAGTCGACTTTTGGGAGGAAGGTCAACAGGGTGGTGTATTTTAGGCTCTATGAGAACCAGTGCCCAGGGGGTTGTGGGAAAATGTCCGGCAGATCCATTTATTAAACTCTCTGATTACTAAGACTTGGCTGAATATGCAGGACTTTCATAAAAGCAAGTATGACTGTGAAATTATTTCACACCAACAAGTCATAGACACGTTTACTCCAATCCACTAAGTCCAGCCCATGATCCCAGCAGTAATGTACCATGAATGGGATGCATTATTGCAGTGGGAACAATGTTTGCGAAGTCAAAATCTCTGATGGCATAGCTGACCGAGAGTTTTTCTTCCAATTTTCAGCCGGCTCAGCTTTTCACAGATGTGTTAATGTAGGGTGGACAGCTGCTCTTTATGGCAGAATGGTGCAAGATGATCAGGATCATTTTCATCCCCACTGACCATTGAAGGAACACAAGTGCTTTTTCAGTTCGTCGGAAATTTAAAAAAACTTGGTCGGGCGGCCAAAGAAATAAAGTGTGAGAGAGAGAGACAGAGAGAGAGAGTGAAGATAATTTTTATTTCTTATCCGCAACAAAGGGCTTAGTCAGACCTGACTGTGAGCTGAGATCAGCGTTACACAGCTCTGATGCGCTCTCTACAGGGGAGGAAGAAGTGCGTTAAAATCACTCCAACAGGCCACATTTTGTACAGCGTACATGTCACGTTTTTAATTACAACCAATGAAATGATCTTTTACTGAACTCTCTCCAAAGCCTATGCTTAAAGTACATTCAACATATAATAACTATCAGATCTGGTTTGTTGATTCTTCTTAAGATGGCAAAACGTGCCATGAACACATTATAACATATCTAAATATTAAGATTAACACTAATGGGAGCAGTGATGCTTTATGATTAATACCTTGACATGGCATATTGTTTGCATCTTGCAATAAATATTAGTATGTTCTTGATCACTTTGTGTTGTGTCTATTTGCCTTTTCTGTTGAACAATTATGGGTTTTGAGGCACTGAGGGGCTTTCAATGTCATTAATAAATGCTTTATAAGGCATAAATAGTCCTCACTTTAGATGAGGTCACACAGAACACTTTACTAACGAGTAGTAACTACCTTAATAAATCATGAATTAATCATGAATTGCAGTATTAATACGCGTTTATAAAGCATATATTAACATAGTCCCTAACCATAAATCATCATATATATAAATGGATGAATAATGTACATCTAAATACGTTCTTAATCATTTACTTACACTTTATAAATGATCTTATTAATCATCTACAACTCCTTAATAATTGGTTTGTAAAATATATAATACTTCATTTACAAATGGGGAATCCATCATTTATGAAGTATGAAAACACAATCATGAAACACATAATAGACGAGCTTATTAATGAAGAATAAAACATTTATAACTGTTGTTATGAACTGCATACTAATGAATTATTAATGTAGGAACAATGCTTTATAAATGATGAATTAAGTGTTTACTCATACTTAACTAATGCTTCATAGTGTGTAGTTATTATAAAGTGTTACCGATGTGTTTTTTCTGAACTGTCCATCATGAGTCTGATTAAGTCATAGGGTTGTAATGCTAAATGCGAAAAAGAAACAGTGGAGTACTCTTTTAATTTCACTGTAATTTGCAAAGTGAGTGGATTTTATATTCCCAAAACTTTAACTTATTTCTTAATTTATACTGTCTTCTCTAACACATTCTCCAATGAAATGTACCCTCTACAGTCTTCAGAGCAGGATGTCAGAGTAACACGCTTGCTTCACTTTACCAGCCCGTACATAATGAAGATGTAGTATTACTCTGATCTCTGACAGGGATAAGCAGGCAAAGCATGTTTCACTCGGTCACTTGGACCTTGTTGCCGCCAGAGGTGCAGATTTCAGGTTGTGTGGGTGGCAGCAAATCTCAGCAATACACTGTTCACTGACCAAAGCCAATCACAGAATGTGTGACGGAATGTATAGATTCAGTACACTCGTAAGCATCTCAGGTGGTCATCCTTCATCCTTCTTTGAGTGCTGAAAAAGCATCCCTCTCTCTTTAATCTACACCTGTTTGGTATCCCTTTCAAATGCTAAAGTAAGGACACACTTATCACCGGAGTGACCTTTGACCCCCAAAAGATGATCCACAGAAGATTTCTTTTCAGCCATGTGTTGCAGTGCCACATCTGACTCAATTCATCGTGACTGACACAGCAGAGAGACAGAAACACTGCATCCTAATGACCAAATTAGCTCGTTATTGCCATTTTGTAAACCTGCCAAACGACGGCTTACTAAGGCCTTCACAGATGAAACAGCATGGAGATACTTGGGCAATAGTAGTGCTTGCACGTGTAAACGTATCTCCATTATCCTAACATGCTGTATATCATGGAATTCGATGTGACAAAAGATATTAAAACTGAACAGAGGCGTATGATTTGTTGTCTATTTGCTTTCTGTCCTCGAATGTGGACATACGATCTCGTACAGATGTTTGTCACTTGTCGAGCCATCTGCTGCTCTGAGATCAATGTGACACGGACTAGGCCTGTCTCCTGAGGGTGGAGAACCTGCTCTCACAAAGGCCAGAAAGCAACATACATATTCAGTAACAGGCTCCACACCTCGCTATTCATCACGACCCACATGGCCACACGGCATCTGCAGCAACCCTGCAAGAGCTTTAGCGGGCTAGTCTCTGTCAATAGAAACGGCTGAGTGAGAAACAGATAATCCCCGATGACCATTCAAACCTCAGATGACACAGCAAGTCAGACTGTCCATCAACCAGGGAGGCGGGAGATCTGCTGTTTGGCGACCCTGCGACTCCATCGCCTGCCACAGGGACGCACCATCCTCCTCCTCCACCCTCGAGTTCACTTACAACCATCTGTCTATTGTTGCTATGCACCCTAAACGAGGGGATTCTAAAATATATTTGCATCCTGTGAACTGCTTTTTGCATCTCAGCCTTTGGTTTGAACATGAATTTTGGTTTTCAGGACATCAAACTATAACACTCATATAAGGGTCATCTGCCACATATGTAAATAAGTTCATAAGAATGCCATTTTCCTATTATGTTCCCTTATAATGCAGATAGTGAATTTAGGTTAGCTTTAAAATGATTTTTTTTATTAGATATCCTCATCTTGTTTCGCGGTCTTAGGCAACTATTGTTTCGTTTAAGTTGTATGATGGGCAATCACACTCTGTAAAACACAAAGCATGGGTTTTATCTTCTCTGAGCTTGTGGCGCCCTCCTGTGTGTGATACAGGTAAGAACATCCTTAGCTGGACAATATATCTTAATGAAGTACTATAGCATATATATTAAATGTGTGTATCTGTATGATATATTAGTAACTAAGGCATGTAAACAAAATGACTTAGTAAAATGCTCTACAATGTACTCGGGATACTGAGTTTGAGGATGGTGATAATGCTTCTCAAGAGTTTGACTGGATAGCACCACATGGTGCAGTGCAATTTAAATAACTTCTTACACGGTCATGTTACAGTTCATCTTTATTAAAAACATAATACAAAAATCAATGTCATCATTGTTTTTCATGGTATGCAAAGAAAGACATTTGAATAAAAAGTTAAAACTGTTGTTTTTCAAACATCAATTTATGAATAAACACAAAATTAACATTTCAATATTGTATTGAAAGAAGATGACTTAAATACAAGAGAGTCATTGTTGTGTAAGCAAAACATTGTTTAAAAGGTTATTTAATGTAAATTAGTTGTATCAATAATCAAATGTCAACAATCAATAGTAAATGTAATGTTAAAATGTATGATGCAGATTATTTCACTTCATGGAACAATATTATTAAGTTGCTGTACAACATATTTATTCAGTGAATGGAGAACATGATAAAAGGTAATAGGTAAAAAATATATCTCTGTATAAGAGATTGAGAGCATTTCTGTTGTGTCCTAACCACTCTCAACATGGCGTCGGCTGAGACGGCAGCTCGCAGCTAATGGTGCTAACTCGAAAGCTCGAAAGTGCTGCCAGAGCTAACAGTGTTTAACTGAGGGGGAACAGAGGGGTGGGCACTACGAGCGGTATGCGCCGTATAAGAGCAGTGCAGAGTGGCGGCCGTGAGCTAGCTAGCCAGTGAAGCACGCTCACATGCACAAACATGCGCTAAAAGCACATGGTGTCAATAATGTAATGTGTGGAGCCAGGGATGCACACAGAAACATAACATTGCGTTAAATTCATTAATTAAGCAACTTTATCACTTTTCTTTTGTACACAATGGTGTATCACACCGATGGGTCCACAATGTTGGAACAGGCTGCTTTCAAAGTTCACTTAATGTCAAGTGCAACGGGGCCTTTGATCGAGAAACCGATAAAGAATGACACTTCTGACTCCTGGGCATACCCACTAAGCTGACTTTGAAACATTGGGGCGATTTCCAACTTCAGACCTGGGATATACGTATCTGCCAAAATCAACTTGTTGTTCACCTGGCCAGTGACCCTGCAAAGGCACTCCTCCACCTTCTTCTCTTTCCATATTTTTCCATTTTCCCACATTACGGTGAAATCTTCCTGCCCACCCCTGATGCACCTTTTGATTTCCTCCAAGTGTACCAGTCGTTCATAGCCCTGCTTCTTCCCCAGGATGAAATGGACAATGGGCCATTTGCCCTTGTACACTTCCTTCATCACCATGTAATAAGAGGTCCTCATCTGTGAGATGTGCTTCCCCAGACTTTTGGATAGAACCATCTCCGGACAGTGCTGCTGTGGCCACAACAGCACAACTGCAATGAATTGCAGTGGCAAGATCTCACCTAATGGGATTTGCTCACACAGAACTTGGCCAAGGAGAGAAATTAGGTTCTGGTAGAGCTTAATGTGTGGTGATGCCAGTTTGATACAACTCAACACAACATTGACATAGATGAAGTTGATTTTCTCCTTCACAGTCGGCTGATGTTTAGGTGCACAAACTAAAGCAGACAGTTTGGCGATCTTCCTCATTATTTCAGGTGAGATGTCATCTGAGAGGAAATTCAGAATCCCAGAGTAGGTATCAGCTTTTTGCCTCTCCAGGTATTGTCTTGCCTCGTGTAGTTCCAGCCTGTTGTTCATGGTTTTATTCCTCAAGAGAGCTGCAGAATCAGTCTTGCAGAAAAGCTTTGCATACTCTTTGAAGCATCTGATAAGCTCATTTAGGAATCTTTGCTCACGGCTGTCTTTCATTCCAGCTGTGGAGCCCAAGTTCACATAAAAAGTGTCAAGGAAGTCAAAGTTCATCTTCATCCTATATCTGAGGGTGCAGAGCACATCCTCAAACTGTTGGAGGATTTTGTAGTATTGTGTGTGCTTGTTGCGTCGTTTATCATTTGTCTCTACAGCCTGAAGTTTCACAACTCCAGAGAGAACCTCACTCATTATGTCATGGCGGACATTGTCATGAGAAAATACGGGGGTCTTTTCCAGCACTTTAATGACAAGTACTCCGACCTGAATTTCTCCCAGACACCCTGCTGTATTAAAAGAGCGTACTCCCTGACTTGACTCTTTCTTGGCAAGGTTCTGTGTTTCCTTGAATGCTTCTATTGCTGACTGAGCTATTTTTAGAAAGATTTTTAATTTTTCAGAACTTACAGGTTCTTCCTTGTGGTTTGCAATGGCATTCTTCAGCTCATGCTTGATAACTTGTGCTGAGGTGTCGGCGAAATACGAGCTGTCTTTGGATAGATCTCTTGCTCTCAATGCCCAAACTTGTGCCTCTGAGAAATCCGTCTTTTTTAGGTAATAGTACCTGGCTAGTAACTGAGAGACAACTGCATCTTTCGCAAATCTTTTTGATGCATTTTGTAGCACCATCTCTTCCAGTCCTGGGGTTTCTCTTGCAATGTGTTGAATTAGTGGAGAAAACTTAGATTCCTCCTCTGAATAATCTCTCTTCACCAGAATGTGGCGAACGTCTTGCAGGAGTTTGTCTTTGCCTTGTGTGCTCTCATAAAGCTGGTCTGTAGTCAGCAGAAGGTCAGTAATCTCAGCTTTGTTCACATTGTGTGTTGTTGTGAGTTCCTGCAAACACTGACTTGCAATTCTTGAATGGATCATTTTCACAGCTTTAAAAACGACCTTACCCTCAACTGAGCAGGTGGCAATAAAAGTGGAAAATTTCCCAAATCCTTCTTCGACTTTGATGGTTCCACAGACTGGTTTTGGTTGAAGACCAAGAAAGTCCTCACACAGAGAGACGGAGAGAGAGGCCCTCTTGCAGTATACATTCAACAGAACTAAAACAGCCAGGAGTTGTGCATGTTTCTGATTCATGTTGAAGCTCTTCAGAGTTTTGCGGGCCACACCCTGAACATACTCTGGATTAAGAGAAGGATTATTCTTCAGGATCATGAATCCATAGAACGTGTCTGCATCCTTGTGTTTTTTCTCTATATCTCTAAGTTTTTCCTCAAACAGTTTTTGCTCCGTCTCAGAGAGATTGTTTCCAATGAATACTGTCTCCTCAGTTTGATTAGTCTGTTCAGAGGACTCTGACGTCATACAGTTCAGGAGAATTACCTGTGCAGACTTAGACTGAATGTTTTTCTTCGTACATTCTTCATCAATGGCCCGCTGCAAGTCAAATACTTTTTCCTTATCATCAAAGTGATCTATCATCAGCAAGACAGGGACCCGTGGTAATTGCTCCTCATGGTCATACATTAAAAGTTTGACGACTTGACCAGCGACTTCAGCAAAGTCTGCGTTGCTGTCTCTGAGGACAGCACAACGGAATTTGTGCCGGAGAGTCCATAAAGTATGCATGGCCAAAGTTGTCCCACCACATCCGGGTACATGCATGAGGTTGAACGACACGCAGGCTTTACCCAGGGAGCACAAATCTGGTATGACTGTGTCCTTGATGAAGTCAAACGTGTCTCGTTTGATAAATGGTGTAGATCCAGGCTGCTCTGAAAAGTAGAAATTCCACCATGACACTTGTCCTCCTTTGTAGAAGTTCTCCTCTATGACCATTTTGTCCTCATTTCCTCCTTCACATTGGTTCACACATAGTACCTCCAAGGTTTTCAAGTCACGCTCCACTTTCTTCTCAAGAAGCACATTACTTCCCCCGCCACATGGTAGGAAACGGCTGGATCTACGGTTTTTTGACAAAAGACTAAGGACAGTGCCGTTGACTTCAGTAAAACCGAGCTCATATATGCATCTACGAGCAATGTCGATTCCACACCGAGCATCAACTAGGTTCTTCCAGGAGGTAAATGCTTTTTCATTGTCACATATACAAAGGATCTGCTCTGTGCCTCTGAGCTCCTGCCAGAACGTACTGAAAGTCTCAACAAGAGGGTCCATGTTTTTACTCACTGTTGACCAAAGTAAGAAAATTACAAGAAATCTCTTGTTTGGAAGCACATCTTTTCGACACAGGAAAGAAATCACATCTCGAACAGAGGAGCCCTTGTCCATCAACCACTCGTCTATGTCTGACGGGGCCTCACCCTGAATCCCTCCATTGCAGAATACCCAGCTGGTGGTTCGAGTTAATTTCAACTTGTTGGCAATGTCCTCAACCCCTTCTGTGATTTTATACTGTTCTGGTAAATGGACATTCACTGTGCTCAGTTGTTCAAAGTGACATTGTAACCCATCTTTAGCTGATTCTGGATCAAAGTCCAAAACCGCTATTGGGTTGAGCTCTACAAGAAATCCTAGTGATTCAAAGTGGATTGGATGTGATTTGTTAGTTACTATCACATACTGCTCAAAGTGTGACTTATCTAAAGACGAGGATCCACCAGTTATCATCTGACTCAATCTGGAGCCCTGAGTACTGCTTTTTATCACATTAAGGTGCTTCTCTTGAGCTTCTTTTCGGCGTTGTGCTCGCTGTGCCTGACCGGCAATAAACTGGTTGTACTCTTCCATCGGTTTGGCAGATGTGTTCGGTGCGAGGAGATCCCTGCTACTACCGCCGTCTCGGACAAAGAATTGTTTCGATGGTCTTGTTTCAGCTGTGGCTGTTTCTTTAACTTTTGCTTTTTTCTTGGCTTTTTTTGTGTCCATGTTGAAAGTGTGGTAGATGTTTTCTTCACACATTGTAGAGTCAGGGACTATGTCCACTTCTATCACCCATTTGTCAGATGATGTCTCATTCCTATTGAGAACTCCAACAAATCTAGGAGGTTTGATGCAACTATGAGCAGTCTGTTTGTGTTTATGCTCAAAATAATCAATGGCAGAATTTAGTTTAATTGCATAAGCCTCTCTGTCCTTTACAACCACTCCCAACACCTGACCGTGTCTGAAGTTTGGTTCGTCTCCTATTCCAAAATGAATGGTGCCATTGGTGCAGCTGTTCATGCAGGCAGCTGCAAAGCGGATAACCTCTTCAGTTAACCTGGTCATTGTAGATTCATCTGTTGCATTGTTGAAAGCTTTATACTCATGGCAGGGTTCAATTGAGTCTGAGGCGCCTGATTCCGTAATATCAAGAATGTCGCTCTCCATGTATCTATATGTATCATCGTACTTACAGAATGGATAGGGCTTGCATGCTCCTCTAGGCAGATTTGTTGCGCTTGTTGCCTCCTCTTTCTTTAATTTCATTATTTCATCTCTGGCATGAATGAGAAGTTTTGCTGGTCCAAAAGTCACTCCGATTTTTTTGAAGTCTTCTGTATCTAAAAGCAAAAGACTAGGCCCATTAATGTCCTGTTGTAACAGTATCTCTGCAACACCGTCATCTACATCGTCCAACTTGAGAGCCCATTCTCTCACTTGATGTTTACTCCAATCCTTGATGTCAGGTGGCAGATCCTCATCCTGACTCTAAAATACAAAATACAGTTATTTTCCCTCATTTTCAACTCAGTGCACTGCACACTTCTTAGTTGATCATCCTTTAGTGTTTGTTTCAACTGTTATTTACCTTCATTTTGCCTTTATGTGCCATGACAGCGTTGGTTCCTCCTTCTCAAACGTAGATCACTGATGCTACAGAAAGAATTTTAAAAGAATAATTCACAATGAGGACTAGACAATGTACTGTTAGCACATAAAACACAAAATGGCAGAGGTTTCAGCTTTACCTTTAGTTCTCCTGATCATCCATGATAGCTGGCTCTTTTTTCACAAATCTTGACCACTAGCGCTGTAAAAGAAAGTATAAATATATTGATATAAAAAGAAAAGTCTGAGCATATTTAGGACACAGTCACAAATGTTACTGACATTAGTTATGAAATTATCCGGTGATAGTCATATTAACATGCATTTTTAACTCAAGCATTATTGACAATTGGGCACACACCTTTTAAAGTTTCCTGTCTATAAATACAAATAAATGACATTCATAATGACATGTAACATTGTATTACTGATGGCCATTATCAAAGGCAAACTCAATGATGTAGAAAGATAGGGCAGGCCATGATTCCAGGTGGCCATGATACCTTTCTCCATCCACAAAATGCACATTGGCCAAGAGTTGAGTATGTCCACTAATGTCCGTAGACTCATCAGGTTGTAATGCAACGTTTTTTTCCCCACACACCAAGAATAATAATACAAATAATTAGTGCAATCCACTTCTCCGCGAATCGCCACCTTAACGTGGTGGAGGAGTTTGAGTGGCTCAGTGATCCTGGGAGCTATGTTGTCCGGGGCATTAGCCCCTGGTAGGGTCTCCCAAGGCAAACAGGTCTCAGGGGAGAGCCCAGACTAAGAGCGGTTCAAAACAACCCTAATGATAAGCAGCCCATGGACTTCAGCCACCACGCCCAGACCAGGGAAACTGGGGCACCCTCCCGGAGCCAGACCCAGGAGGGGAGCTCGTCGGCGGGCGTCTGGTGGCCGGGCCTTCGCCCATGGGGCCCGGTCGGGCTCAGCCCGCAAAAACAGCATGGAGCAGCCACCCTGTGGACCCACCACCCGCAGGGACAAGCATCGGGGTCGGGTGCAATGCAGACCAGGCTGCGGGTCAGGCGGGAGGCCTGGGCGAGCCGATCGCCGGCAGCATAGACTATCTCTAGGGACGTGGAACGTCACCTCGCTAGCGGGGAAAGAGCCAGAGCTGGTGCAGGAGGTGGAGCAATACCAGCTAGATATAGTTGGACTCACCTCCACACACAGCGCTGGCTCTGGAACCAAGCTCCTGGAGAGGGGTTGGACTTTGTCCTTTTCCGGAGTTGCCCAGGGTGAGAGGTGCCGGGCGGGAGTGGGGACACTCACGAGCCCCCGGCTGAGCGCCGCTGTGTTGGAGTTCTCCCCGGAGAACGAGAGGGTCGCCTCCATGCGCCTACGGGTTGCGGGGAGCAAGGCTGACTGTGGTTTGTGCTCATGCACCAAACAGCAGTTCGGAGTATCCGGCCTTCCTGGAATCGGTGGGAGGGGTCCTGGAAAGGGCGCCGCCTACCGACTCCATAGTTCTCGTGGGAGACTTCAACGCTCACGTGGGCAATGACGGAGAAACCTGGCGGGGGGTGATTGGGAGGAACGGCTTGCCCGATATGAACCCGAATGGCGTCTCGTTATTGGACTTCTGTGCTTGCCACGGTTTGGCCATAACGAACACCATGTTCGAACATAAGGTGGCTCATAAGTGTACCTGGTACCAGAACACCTTAGGCCGGAGATCAATGATCGACTTTGTAATCGTATCATTTGATTTGCGGCCGTATGTCTTGGACACTCGGGTGAAGAGAGGAGCAGAGCTGTCAACTGATCACCACCTGGTAGTGAGTTGGATCAGATGGTGGGGGAACTGGTTGGAAAGACCCGGCAAGCCCAAACGTGTAGTGAGGTTGAACTGGGAATGTCTGGCGGAGGACCCTGTCCGGAGGTCTTTAACTCCCACCTCCGGAAGAACTTCTCACACATCCCGAGGGAGGTTGGGGACATGGAATCCGAATGGACCATGTTCAAAGCCTATATTGTGGACGCGGCCGCTAGGTGCTGTGGCCGGAAGGTCATCGGTGCCTGTCGTGGCGGCAACCCGAGAACCCGGTGGTGGACACCGGAGGTGAGGGAAGCCGTCAAGCTGAAGAAGGAGACCTGCTAGGTGCATACCGCCACCTACTGTACCTGAGTGTGCATTTTCAGGGTAACCTTGAAAATGCACACTGTTCTGATAATAAAATACCGCGATATACCGTGAAACCGCCAGAATCTTACAAAATACCGTGATATGCATTTTTGGTCATACCGCCCAGCCCTACCATGGAGAAGGACTTTCGGTTCGCCTCAAGGAGGTTCTGGCAAACCATCCGACAGCTCAGGAAGGGAAAGCAGGGCTTACCCCAGGCTGTTCTCAGCAGGGGGAGGGGACTGCTGACCCGGACGGGGGACATCGTCGGGCGGTGGAAAGAGCACTTTGAGGACCTCCTAAACCCGACAAACATGTTCTCTGCAGAGGAGGCAGCGCCTGAGGACCTAGGGGGAGGCTCACCCATATCCCTGGCAGAGGCCGCTGAGGTAGTTAAAAAGCTCCTTGGTGGCAAGGCGCCGGGGGTGGATGAGATCTGCCCTGAGATGCTGAAAGCGCTGGACATAGTTGGGCTGTCCTGGCTGACACGCCTCTTCAATGTCGCATGGGGGTCGGGATCAGTGCCCATGGACTGGCAGACCGGGGTGGTGGTTCCCATCTTCAAAAAGGGGGACCGGAGTATGCTCGAATTACCGGGGTATCACACTATTCAGCCTCCCAGAGAAGGCTTATGCCAGGGTGCTGGAAAGGAGGCTCCGACCTTTTGTTGAACCTCAGATTGAAGAGGAGCAATGCGGATTCCGTCCCGGCCGTGGAACAGTAGACCAGCTCTTTACCCTCACAAGACTACTGGAGGGGTTCTGGGAGTTTGCCCAACCAGTCTACATGTGCTTTGTGGACTTGGAGAAGGCTTTCAACCGGGTCCCTCGGGGGTTCTTGTGGGGGGTGCTGCGGGAGTATGGGGTGCCGGACCCATTACAATGGGCGATCCGGTCTCTGTACGACTGCAGTAGGAGCTGTGTCCGCATTCTCGGCAATAAATCAGACACGTTCCCGGTGGGTGTTGGCCTCCGCCAGGGCTGCCCTTTGTCACCGGTCCTGTTCGTGACTTTCACGGACAGGATATCTAGGCGCAGCCTGGGGGCAGAGAACGTCAGGTTCGGGGGTCTCGGGATCACCTCTCTGCTGTTTGCGGGAATGAGAGTTAGCACCTCCAAATCTGAGGCCATGGTTCTCTGCCGGAAACTGGTGGATTGCTCCCTCCAGGTCGGGACGGAGTGCCTACCTCAAGCGAAGGAGTTCAAGTATCTCGGGGTCTTGTTCACGAGTGAGGGTAAGATGGAGCGGGAGATCGACAGGCGGATCGGTGCGGCTGCAACAGTAAAGCAGGTGCTGCACCGGGCCGTCTTGGTGAAGAGGTGTTTTTGGTTTTGTTTTTTTTTGTTCCAGGTTCAGAGGTCACACAGCCCGTCGTCTCCTACGTGAGCGCAGTCCACCGAAAACATTATATTTCCCACAATTTAAGCTTCTGCATTTTCCAAATGCACTAGTATTATTCAAACATATTGTTCGGTTCGTAAGCCTCGTACCGAATGGTTTAATACGAATACGTGTAATATTACACCCCTACAAACAAATAATAATCGTAGCTGTGGCTCATAATTAGGTTATTCAACTGTAGTAGGACAGCACAGAAGGCCCATATAAAATGCATGGCCCGCCACTGGTTTTGTGCAGCGAGATTCTGGTACAAGAAAGCATGACGCCGTCAAAACTGAAGCAGCATTTGTTGGATCAATCCGCAGCGGATAAACTGAAAACTATACCTCTGTCAAATTACACTATAAGTAGACAAATTGAAGACATGTCGGATGACATCAAACAACAGACCACAGCTCAAATTTAGGCAAATGGTCATTTTGCATTACCAATGGACGAATCTACAGACATAACAAACAAAGCAGTTTTACTCGTTTACGTGAAACTGACAGGAACAATTTCTCTGCACAAGAGAGCTCCCTACTACTACGACTGCAGATGACATTTTCAGCTCAGGTTCAAACTGCACCATATTTTCATTAAATACATTTGAGAAGTTGAAAATTTGGGTCGCGGCTTGTCATTAAGGGGTGATGGTGGGTCCCACTGGGAACCACTGCACTAGATGCTCCAGACGTTCCCTGCCACCTACACACTTATTTCCACTTTACCTCATCAGTCCTGCACTTGCCTGACCAGCGTATCTACCCTCACCAGTAAGGTGCAAAGATTTACACTGCACAAATAGCACAAAGGAAAGATGAAGACTTTGAGAAACAGTGATACAGAGGGAGTTGTATGAAAGAAAAGACTTGATCTCCGGGTCAGAAGATAAATGGCAAGATTTGGCTCTATGGGTAAGAATATCAGAAAGTCAGGAAGCTGAAAATTGGCAAGACATAACAAATCGACACATTCAATACAATTCAATGTTGATTCTCTCCGAAAAGAAATTCAGCTGTGTCGCTCAGACAGTCGGACCAGTTGAACTGGTGCCTGGCACACATGGGCCTACACAACCACATTTGTTGTTTATTTGACTGGGTGAAATTACCTCGGAGGTATTATAACTGTAGAGTTTAGAGTTCGACCGCTAAAAAGTCTAAGATCAGTTCATTGTCTGACGTTCATTATTTTAAAAGGAATTAAAAAAGATAAAAAAATAAAAAGGGAAAAGAGAATTAGATGAAATAATAATAATTGTTAAGAGAAAAGCTGACAACAAAAGAGAATGAAGGGACAGGCAACAAGAAGTTTTGAGGAGATTGGAAAGCTTTTGGACGATTGATGAGGAAGCACATTTAATAGATAGAAAAAGGAAGGCAGGTACAGAAAACTCCTCATCTGTGTCTCAGTGTGTCAAAAAGAAGGCGCGGACGAGGCAGAGGACGTCATGGAAAATGATCCGACGCATGCTTTGTCTGTGGAAAACACGGACATTGGGCGAAAGAGTGTCCAGACAAGAAGCAGAAGGCTGATTGAAGCCATGAGGAATCTGAGAGAGGGATGAGGTCAGCAGCAAATGAAACACGAGGTCTGGATGAAAAGTCTACATATCAAGGCAGTAATTGCGCCACACCTGACAGACACACACACACACACACGCACACGCACACACACGCACACACACACACCATTGAGTGAAGCAATAGAGCAGTAGGAACAAAAACAGGATCAAGATGACACACTTGAATCAGGCACACATGATACTACAACAGAAACTTGTCTATGAATGCCCACACACACACACACACACACACACACACACACACACACACACATCACGTTTTTGGTAAACTCAAGTGCAACACAGTCTGTGATTAAACGATCTGTTTCAAACACCTCCAAAAATGAGTGGCAGATAACTACGCTCAATGTTTACTATCGGGTAGGCAAACTCATCAAAGTATACGATAATTAAGATTAGTATAGAAAATGTTTCTGTTTTTTGATTAAATCGTTAACTAACGCACAGTGTAAAAATGCTCTGGTACATGTAACAAGGAACAAAGAAGTCCTGCATTCAACATGTAAAAGTACAAAAGTATTAGCATCAAATTATACTTTAAGTACCAAAAGTCAAAATATACTTATAAGTATACTTATTATGCAGAATGATCCATTTAAAATAATACATTTACGGTAGTCCTATATCATTGGCATATAGATGCATTAATGTTGCAGCTAGTAAAGGTGGAGCTAATTTAAACTACATTGTATACTTAATAATTAGACTTTATACTACTAAATAATATATCATAGTTAGTTTATTGCTTAGTTTATATTTTGTATTAAGAATCCAAATCTGCAAAGTAGCCTAAATAGTAACTAATATTGTCAAATAAACCAATAAATCAAATAGTGAAATTAAAAGTACATTTCCCTCTGAGATGTAGTGGACGAGAAGTATTAAGTTTCATGAAATAGAAATACTCAAGTTAAGTACAAGTACCTAAATACCCAAGTACAATATTAGCCTAAATGTACTGAGCACCAAATTGTTAACAAGAGCAGAGTTTTTCATAGATCCAGCTTCTAAATGTTGCTCTCAAAGTGCACCAGAGTGATGCATTTAACTGTAAAATATACTAACTTAGTCTCAGAAAGTCCTGTGTGAAACTCTGCAGCTGTTGTTTCGTCCCACAGGCTGGCTGCTCCATATCACGTGACCCTCTTCCGCAACTTTTACATGCTGCATTTGTGCCAATTCAAATGACTTGGCGATTAGGGTAGCGTTACCATCAGAGGCTCTTTGTTACCATGAAGTCAATTTGAATCATTTGAAGGTGGAACAGTTGGAATTCTCCTTTGGGTCGGTCCTTTAGTTCTGTGGCATTTCTAAAATAAAAGGGCCGTCTCCACATAGTTCATGTTCACTCGCTATGATTGCTTTAAGCAAAAGGAAGGGGCTCATATTGCTCTTGGCCTGGTCCTCCTCAAATCTGTAGAACCGCCCCGGCTCTTAGGAATGACAAGATTACGTATTTATTAATCATGATTTCATGATTTTGTCATTGTGCTCTCTGGTGCCAAATATGGTTGAAACATAAAACCAGGAAGTTGCTGTACCTTTAAGTGTCTGCACAATACACAATACCAACGTAGCCTACTTTAACAAAAAAAATATCATTTTATAATTGATTGTATATATGACAATGATATTATTGGGTTTGATAGGATGTCATAGTGGAAAACAAAAAGATTCTCAAAAGATTGTAAATCACACAAACCTAAAACCTGCAAGTGGAATGCAGGAAGTCCAGACAGAGCTTAACATAGGTTAACAAAAGCCACATCACAGAAGCGAGGAAACATTGCTTTTCATTTCAAATGATGTAGATTGTAGCGTTAAATGTTTGTTTTCACACATTCAAAAACATACAGAGACAAACAAAAAAACACACTCACCATCCGGGCACTTTGTGGGCAGACTCTCCGCAGACCGCAGAATTCATAAACGCGTCGTTCTTCAAACAGCGTTCGTGTGACAGACTTTTCGAGACAAGGACGCTGAAGTCAAATACATCTTTCTGTGCTGGTTCGCGGTGAACAATAAGAGATCAGTGCCGACTGAGGCGGAAGACAGTCCCTCGGGCAGTGGGCGGGCAGTTCTCAGGAAACGAAACCAAAGAAAGCCAAGACCCGATACATGAGCCAACAAGACGGACGATCTCTTTTACAATTATCCTGATGATTTTGCATTATTGTCTGCTGTGTCCTCGATTAACCATATACATCCTGTATACCAGTTAGAACATCTCCCCCCATTGATGAAAACAGCACAAGCAGCAGAGTAAACATGCTGGGATTATCTTCAACTCAAATACATGTATATGGCCTCACGTGTGACCTAAACTGTAAAAAGACAAGTTACAGCTAACACATTTAGTTTGGGGGAATTCTGAGATGTGTAGGTGGGAAGCGCAAAGAAAATGATTATACATTTCAGAAAGGTTTAACTATATTTGATCCATCCACCGCTACATAATGGAAAACGTACATACGCTGCTATTACACCCCAGAATTCAGAAGCACCCTGCTTAGAAGTACAGGTTATGTCTCCTTCCCTTACTCCCTTCTTCTCCATTGTCATGCTTTCTTCCACTATTTACAGTATTCCACTTTCATATAGCCAGTAGGAACCTGTGCATATTTTAGTGCCGAATTGTTATGGAATGAGTTCTGTATTATCTTTAATTTATATTTGAAGTACCTGAGTGTGTTACATGTTATTCATGTTGATACAGTGGTATGAATTAGAGCATCTTTACTGCATATGTCCTTTGAGATCAGTCATGTGACACACTGCCTCAGCACTTCAACGGGATGCTTCTTCGTGTCTATGTCTTGAAGGCTTGTATCACAGCATGATCAGGCAATCATATTAGGATTTGGATCAGCAAAATAGTGATTTGAATATGAAATATGAATATAAAATTAACTCTGACCTTTGTCTTAAATGTTTGATGTTTGTCCTAGGTAAAAAAAAAAACAGCTGTGCAAAGAAGTATTCAGGTCATCCAAGGCATTCATATTTCTCAATAATCGAGACACAATGTTATTGAAACACACTGGATTCAGTAGAGGTCAATGTAACAATAGATTTTCAGGGTGTCAGGAGGAATACAGTAAAGCAGAGGCTGGTCCGTGGAGCAACACACTGAATTATGTTACTATAGGGCATTCTCTTACATTTAACTCCACTTGTTGTGATTTCATGCTACATATATACAGAGATGGGCAGTATTTCTATTACTTGTATTTGAAATACGTATTTCAATTACTTTTGAGTATTTTGTAATTTGTATTTGATAGGGCCGATAAAAATCGAATGTAATTTGTAACAAAATACTTTAGAGTGGAGTAATTTTGTATTTAAAATACTCAAAATACTTTCTCTACGAATCAAAAAAAACAGTTCACGAGTTCAGTCTTCAGATCTTCAAGTTCAACAGATTGTCTGTCAAGGTAAATATTTTATCTGAGTGTGACAGATGTCAACTAGCTTGATGTATAATTGATGTCTGGGTCTGGCTACATAGCCTATTGTATACACATAAATATGTAGCAATTAAATATGTAGCAATTAAATACATAGTAACACATTATCAGTTTCCACTTACAGGACAAAGAACACCATGTGACACAGGCAACAATTAATTTGTATTTATTAAACAACAATATAGATGATGGTGACCATAGTTGTTTTTTAACCGTTTTTTCAACATATAATATTAAATATTGTTTGTATATTACTGTATGCCAAACAATAGTGTTTGCACCGTGGTCTTATTAGTACATCACTTTATTTTACTCAACTCCTCCCCATTTAAACTGTGTACAGTCCCACTCGCTTTCTGTCATGTATTTCCGCAAAGTTTCCAGACCAGTGCAACTTCCAGAGTTTTAGAAGAAGTTGTTTCAGCAGTAAACACACACTCGTATTTTACATGAATGTACAGACAGAATGTACTCTGCTCTCATTACGATGTCCTGGGAGCTTCTTGTTGGCAGCACACAGTCTATAGTTCCATATTGATGAAGTTTTCTATGATAGATCAAATGCGTTGAAATCACGTCTTTGTGTAGAGCACATTTCACCGACCAGTGTAATATGACTTTGGAGAAATACGTTCAAAGTAACCAATATCATCTCTCTTTCAACTTACAACTGAACAAACCATCAACATTTTAAAACACATTGGTGTTTTGTGACACGTTGATGTAACCGCAATTTAGCCGGTTGAAAAGATGGTGAAAACAGGTCCAATTTTCAACCAGTTTTCAACCAGAAATCAACATTGAAATCCCGGTTGGTGCTCACTGGGTACTGTCAGAATTGGTCTCCAGATCATGAACAATAGGCTGAATAGACGGACTATGATTGTAAGATTCATGCTTTCAGGGGATAGAATAGATTCTAGGCATATCCCAAGAGAAAGGAGAAATTTGGTAGAGTGGGAAACAAGTTATGCTCTGTCAAGATTTCTTCAGGGTTACTCTAGCTAGACAAGATAATACACCTGATGTTATTAATCCGTGTTAATAAGCGTTTCTAGCTAGCTTAGCAACATTTCCACTGATAGCCAGCACTCTCGGACCGCCGTGTGTTCATAGCAGACACCCAGATGACTTTCCTGAAACACAAATCACGAGTTTGTGTAATAAAACTGGCCTCAATTTGTTCATAAATGTATTCATCAAGATATTATGGTTAGTTGTTGTGTCTTTTTAGCCAAATGACAACCGTGGGCTAGCGCAACCGCTAGGTGGCTCACGCTAACAAGCTCTGGCTGTGCACAGCTCGTGATTGGCTCAAGCGGTGTATGGGCACTTTTACCAAATTTCAAATGACACCCTGTCAAGACAAAAGTTTATTTATTATATGTGACAGAAACAGCCAACATTTCATTTCTAGGACAAGCATGAAAATAGTGACGGGACTTTGCATTAAATCAAAACAACATAATACAGTTTTGTTCATTTGTTTTTTCTATTTGTTGGCGTGATGATGTGTGACATTTACTCTGCTTTTTAATCATGAAAGTCATTTACTTGCATTTATAGGTGTTTAAGTCAAAAATGAATGCACATGAGAAGAAATAATTCAGCAGTGTTTACCGCTAATTATAAGACATTCCAGGCATGAATCAGTAACTTAACAACAATACAAATTAAACAGAAAAAAAAGAAAGAAAACTCAAACAAAGCACAAAATCAACAGCAAACTGAAAGCCGACGAGCATTTTCAAGTACCATAAATCTTATTAAATGTTACATATTGTAATCTAGAAGGACGTATATACAAGCTGTGCAATTCCACTGATTCTCGGTGGAAACGTTGAATCTCCTGAGTACCTGTTGGTCATTTCAGCACAACGTGGTAGCCATCAGTGTTTTCATCTGGATAACAGAAAACAATCCAGTAAAACAACATTCAAAACTATCAATAATCAAGCTACACGGGAGGGATACTGATGTTTAACAGTGAGTAGTGAATTTAGGGGTTGACAATAAAAATCAGTTACCTCTTATAATGCTGAGGATGAAGCTTGTTTCCTCCCTGAAGATCTGCACCATCTGAAACGAACGGATCGACCGATGTCAACACAGATCATTTAAGTGCTGCTCATGTATAAATCCCAATCCTCCCTAACAACCATCATTTACAGGTGTCATAATTAGCTTTTGCTTGCATGGCAGTGGTAAATAGACAGCGCTAGAGAAAAAAGCCTTTAGTTTGCCTCTTTTGTTCCATTAAATGTAGCTCACATGACTTTTGTTACTTTTTTCGACATACCATACTATGACTTTTTTTGATACACTCATTCATACTACCATGCAAGGTGCCACCTGTCCATCAGAACTATGTAAACATTTATACCCATTCATACACCGGTAGCAATTTAGGGTTAGGCATCTTACCCAAGGACACATCGATCAATCCTCTGATTGATGGATGACACTGCTCTACCACTGAGCCACAGCCGCCTACATACTTTGACTTTTTAATGACTTTTTCTGACATACTATTCTATGTCATTTTTTATGACCTTTACCAACATAATATATTTAGTATTACTTTTTTTGAAAATACTTTTTGCAACATACTAAACTGAGGAGTTTTTTTATGACTTTTATAGACAAACTATGTTTTGACTTTTTTTGACATACTACACTAACACGCTTCTACGACTTTTTTCGAAATACAACACTGACTTTTTTCAACATGACATGCTTTGACTTTTTGATGAGTTTTTCGACACACTATACTATGACTTTTTTTGAAATACTATACTTTGATTTTTCAACATAATATGACTTTTTTTTAATGACTTCTTTCAGATCATTTTCTTTTTTTTTACTTTTCTGGCATGCTACACTATGACTTTTTAAAATGTTTTCAGACATAACGTACTATGACTTTTTTATGACTTTTATGGACATTTAAAAAAAACCTTTTTTTTACTTACTATACTATGACGCTTTTATGACTTTTTTCAAGATATTATACTATGGACATTTTTGACTTTTATAGAAATACTATACTTTGAAACTTTTTTTCACTTATTTTAACATTTGCTATGACTCTTTTGACATTTTCTGACATGCCAAAATGTGACTTTTTTGTACATACATTAACACGCTTTTATGACTTTTTCCTAAATACTACACTAGGAGTCACTAATAGGTGGGCCGCGGTCCGGACCCAGACGCTGTTGTATCCAGACCTTTGACCTACAACTAATAGATAACTGAGGATTATTAAAGTTTGACGGACCGCTTCTACTTTAACCGGCGCAGCTTTTCTAGCCTTTACGGTTCTTGTTCATCGGTCCAGGAAACACACCGACCAATTGCTTGCATTGTAAATCATCTCACGTGACGCTGCTCAGCCAATCAAATATGTGTATTCTGAAAAGCACCATGACTCGTATGAGATATACACATACAGGGGAGAGACGGGGAGACAGACCGAATAGTTGGAGAAGTACGTGGCGTGCTCCAAAGAGCGAAATGTGGTCAGAGAGACCAGAGAGACCAGAGTCTTTCACCAAGAATGGACAGAGTCTTATAGGTTAATTCTTCCCACAGGCAGTTTAAAACCATCCATCCATCCATTTTCCACCGCTTATCCGGGGTCGGGTCGCGATGGCAGCAGGCCAAGCAGGCCGACCCAGACCTCCCTCTCACCGGCAACATGTTCCAGCTCATTCTGGGGGATCCCGAGGCGTTCCCAGGCCAGCTGGGAGATGTAATCTCTCCAGCGTGTTCTGGGTCTTCCCCGGGGTCTCTTCCCAGTTGGACGTGCCTGGAAAACCTCCAGTGGGAGGCGTCCAGGAGTTTAAAACCAGTAGGTGTCATATGTTCAGAGACCGTGATGATTATTAAAAGCTGTAATGTGAACCTCCACTACGAGACAAAGATCACATCTTTTGAGCAAACATACCCACTCACATCCGAAATGAAGGCACAGAAAAATAAACGATCTAAGTCAGAATCCTAACACGTTAATTCACTTCTAAAGAACAGAGAGGAATAGAGCTGAAACAAGTGGTTTAATATCCACAAATTTCTCTTTTTAGAAGATGACAATAATATGAATATCGTGGCTATTTTGGTTGACATCAATTCACACCTGAATCAACTGAATTTACAGCTGCAGGGCAATTCAGTGAAATACATTTTTCTAAAATGAAGTACTTTATTTTAAGATGCACATTTTTCAAAAGCTTTCTGTTGTATGTATTTATTTTTTAATCCAGTCCTTATTTTACTTTAAATGAGAGAAGAACATTTATTTATTATTACTGTATTATTAGAGTATGCATTATTTATAATTCATCCAGTTCAATATGAAATCTGACAATACATATCGTTGAGATATTATTCAATTAAACTTTCTTTATTTGATTTGACAGACAGTTACATACATAGGCTAGGCTACTTCAATATATAAGGGACTAAGTCATAACGGCAGTGAGACATTATTGTGATGTACCGGACTTTTGTATGAGGACATTTTCTCTAACTGGACCTTTTAATGGAATACCGCGGCTCTATGCCAACATTGTTGTTCAGCTCTGGCTGCTTGTGGTTACTCCTACAAGTTTCCAATGCTGGTGGAGACTATTAAGAGTTGAGCATGAAGCAAGCTGAAGAAAGCTCAATAATCTGCTGCTTTTCAGCCCGACTGCACGCCAGTATTACTCATAGTCTCCTATGAGTAATGAGGCCGAGTGAGATAGAAGTTACTTGGATGTACGTGTGCACTTAGCCGAGCGTTGCTCTATATCGCAGGGTGAATGAAAGAAACAAAGTTACTGTCAGGGATATAATTAACAGACAATACAACCCGATCACGTTGTATCCGACCTGAACCGTAGACGATATGAAGTGGACGTTGTCACCATAACGATTTGTGGACTGTGGTCTTAAAGACTCGAATTTGGCATTGTGGCCTATTTTACTCTAAAAGGGACCATAGGTTACTAAATGAACATCATGCTGTATTGAAGAAGACTTGAAACTAAAGATTCACTCTTCAGAAGTGGAGGTCACCTGATCTGAACTATAAAGCAAAGCAGTACGTAACAGGACAGCCATCAGCCCTTGTGTCAAGAGTAAATCCAACTTAGCCGTGCTCCCCAGGCCTGGGCCCTCTAACAGCACTCGTTGGTAAATGGTTCAAGGTATGAAGAGTTAGTGGTTGATAGAGGAGACGTAAGGATACCTCGTCAGAGACTAGGACGTGGATCCCGCTGGGTTTTTCTCTGTAGATGTGTGTAATTTGCTGCGGAGCAATGCTGCACAGCAGAGCAATCTTTTCCGAGAGGTCCAACAGTGTCAGCTCCTCCAGGTACAGAGCGTGATAGACTGCAGGGAAGACAAGCGAAGACAGGAGGGAACACGTGAACGAGCTTCGCGAACAATTCCATAACTACGTTAGATCCCATTATTCATTTTCAAAAAATAGTGAATTTGATCTATGTTTTCCAGTCCAAAAAATGTTTTGTGTGATGAAATGTGATGACACCCTTTCAGGAGCAGTCCAATAAATGAATCATAAAGTATGTCCACCTACTGTCTCCACCACCTGGCTTGATGGCAGGTTGATGTCTGGTGTGCTGCTGACACACATAGATGGTAAGACGGGGCTGTATAGACCTGGTGAATGTGAGCAGAGACTGTACCATTAATACTGGGTACAACATGCTGCAGTAGTAACATGACTGAAGATACTTCTATATATATATACTGTATATAATATACCTGTTTTGGTCTTAGACTGAAATTTCTACCGCATGTTTAGGAAAGTACACTAATACACAGCGGGTCTGTTTGAAATATACTAACATACTACTCGTATGACGTAGAGTTGAGTATGTAGTGTAATAACGCAGCAGATGTAGATTTCTGTGTACCTGAGAAATGCCTGCATGTATCAACAAGAATGTGTGAGTGTGAGACATGAGTTTACAATCGCAGCGAAATATATTGCGGATCTTCCGAAGAACGAACCTGTTATAATAATGCATGGCGAGGGACATTAAGGTACCGTAAAGAGGAAAAGCACGGTAGCTCACATTGATATGTACCGTAGAAAACATATTAAACACCAAAATATTTAATCATTTTAATTTGACTTAAAATAATACTGCAATAATACTACTGCATTCAACGGCAGCGCAGACATGTAACATCGTGATCGATACAGTCATGTGATGCAGATTACTTGAGTTCACTTCAGTGTGAACAGGCCGATGGTAATGGCATACGCATACTATCTGCTAATTGTTCATTTAGTATGTAGCATGCAGTACAAATGTAGTGTGTTAGCATGCAGCAACATTTTTATCATTATTATTTCTGTCTCTGGACAGTCAGAGGACGATGTTCAGCGACGTTTTACTATGAAAATGAACCTGAAACTCTACAAGTGAAAGAAAGAAAATAGTAATTTTGACATGTCCCTGTCTTTCCCAGTGAACATGACACCCTTCCCCATGTGCAAGTTTGTGTGGAGCTTTCACACAGACTTTAAACTTTGTTAAATGATGACATGTCTGGACCGTTTTGACAATGCTGACCACTGAGAGACTGGAGAGTCCAAATCAAAGAAGGGATCATATTAGCTGAGTCATTCATTCCAATTTCATGTAACTCTGCGTTGCCTATGAAGCAATGACACTAGATACTTTCTCCATTTCCATTTTTCCATAAACATGACTCGAATCAACCAACAATAACCCCGGCACAAAAAGCAGTCTCTACGTCACCCAGCTCCACCTGCACCATTTAACGAGGACAAAAGGAGAACAAAACAAATCTACAGAATTCTGATGTGGCTGAGCACTTAGAGGTGCATCTTAATATCTCACCTTCCTTTCATAGTGTTAAAGAGTCGAATACCATCTGCTGGACCGCAGATCTGGATCAGATCCTCCCTGCTCATCCTCAACAGATCGGCACCTGCAACAACAGCAGAACATCTATCCTCCGTGCTCAAAGAAGTAGTCAGTGAATTCCTCAACTTCTTTCCCTATTTAGAGTCAGACACTCAGCTGTGTGCCTGCTCTCTCAAAATGCATTGTGATTTTTACCCCCCGTTACCTGAGAAGCTGTAGAAGAGCCTTGAGAACGGTGAGAACCTGTAGCGGTGCAGCCACTGCTGAGTGTCCTGAGGTGAGGATGATGGTAGAAGGTGCTACATGTCAAGAAGAAGAGGAGCCCTTGAAATAGGTATAGCAGCACAGCATCCACTGTCTCCAAAACAATGGCCGAAAAGGAATCAGAGAGCCACATGAGCACTTTCACACTGCACGCTTCTGCATTACTTACATCACAGCAGCCGGGCAGGAGCAGCTCCCCTTGCTGGTTTGGAGAACAGCTGCTGCAGAAACGTCCACATGAAGAGGAGAGAACAGATTGGGCTCTGAAACACATCATTTACTGATAAAAACAGTTTCTAACACACCCACTTATACAGAATATACCATGTACAGGTTGTGGAAGCACATTCCTCTAAACAGTGTTGAGTAATCCTGGTAAGCACCCATAGAGGGAGCTTTTACCATGGTTAGTATTACCCACTGGTGTAAGCCGTGGTCAACCCCAGGCCCAGAAAGACAATCTAGACTTTTAGTCCGCCTTGACATTAATCTACAGAGCCCTGCTAGCCACAGTTGATTAGGTGGGTGCTTAGTAAAATGGTGATATGTGGCAGCGTGAATGCTGACTCACCCATCTGTGAAGCTACAGGAAGTTGGGGAGCTGTGGTAAACTGGTGACGGAGTGCTGCTGCTGCTGTGGCTGGTGAGATTTAGGGCATCGGGCCAAGGAGAACACTTGAGGGAGAGAAACAGAGAAAGACGAGGGAAGGTGTTTTCTGATCATCCAACCTGACAAAGTAATTACATCTGAGCACAAAGACAACAGGCGTAAACATTTCCATATCTAAATATTAAGAATATCATATTAAAGCTGTGTAATGTTATATATAATAACAAACCTACAAAGAAGTATCCCTGAACTCAGCCCACTTCAGGTTTCTGAACAACCTGTCTCACTCCCAACTCGTCAAGATATAATAATAATAATATATTTTAAATCTTTATTTTTAGTCCAGGGGGAAACACAGTCAAGCTTGTTTGCACTTCATGTCAATGTTTTCAGCAGCATACTGCAGTTCAGATGTACATTTACTCCAGAACTGTAAAGTTTTGCAGTATTTTTGCTTTAGTTCAGCGGTTCCATTTTATACTATATATAATTTTACTTTACTATATTTCAAAGGGAAATATTGTACTTTTTACTCATGTACATTTCTCTGACAGCTATAGTTACTGATCGATAGTTACAGATTAATATTTTACATGAAAAACACATGATCTATTGATATTGATTAGACCAACCAACAGACAACAAAGCAGTACGCTGTTAATATTGAATTGCTGCTAATGCATCAATCATTATAATACAATAATATATACCATTCTGAAAGAAGCTATTATACAAAATATGTACTTTTTAACTTCATAAGTTAATTTTGCTGATAATATCGCTGCACTTTTACTGAAATCAATTCTTGAAGGACTTTTATTTCAATGCAGTATTGTCACAGTTAGCTATTTTTTACTTTAGCAAAGGATCTCTGTTCTTCCAGCACTGGTTTTCAGTGATCTCTTTGTAAGCTCACACAGATGAATGGTTCATAGTTTTAGCTCTGATCAGGTTTGTTTTTCATCCGGATGAATGACAAACCAGATGAACACCTTAACAGAAACTGCTGAGTCACTTGTCATCCAAAGACACTGAAGTGATGCAACCAATCATTGACAGAACTAAGCGCCAAAGCAAGCACACTTTAAAAAGGAACAACTCAAAGCAACATATTAACATAGAGTGATGCAGTACTGGTTTAAAATGTACTGTGGAAGCAAAATGATTGTATTGGTGGATTCTATTCAGGTGAAGCACAAAGAAATGAAATGTCTGATAAAATTAGATAACATCAGAATTTACCACTGTGGGACCAATAAAGTTGCAGCATTACAATGCTATTGATAAAATGAAAGCAAACAGGATCCTCTCAGATCTGCTCTGTTATGTAATGGGGCCATAGATGGAGAAGGGAATGCCTCACCTCTTTCAGCACAGTGTTGTCGTGGGGCAGTTGGTACTTCTCTCTGTCTTGAGAGACCTTTTTATCGATCTTTTCCCTGTCTGTCTTCAGTTTGCGATCAGCTCCTTTAGGCTTCAAAAAAATACATCAGGAGTCAAATTTAGAAAGCTGTCATAGAATATGATACTGTATATGGCCCAATGATTATTAGAGCGTAGCATTACAAAGGTCACTATATTGTAACACTAGTTCAATAAGCACAGGTGGAGCCCTCTATTGAACTCTATAGGTATTATTCTCTTCCAATTACGAGCATGCATTAGCCCAAGGGAAATTTGCATAATCTGACCTGGCCAATCATGACGTGCCTACCCGAATACTTGCGGACTCTGCAGGATGCAAGGCAGCACACAGCACTACCAAACTATCCTACACCTGCTATAGAGGGTAGAGGGTTCTGCCTGTGCTTATAGAACTAGGGCTACAGTATATGTATTTGTTCTAACTCACAAAGGCTCTACTGGACAGGATGGGTACAGTGGGCGGAGCCAGATGAATGCACGCCCTGCTGCGACATATTGTCCACCCGACCACACTGATCCCGACCGGCTAGAGGTTAATCAGTGGGCAACTTGCACGTCCTGATTGGCGTACTCATGATGGGAGGAGAGTAATACCCTTAGAGTCCAGCAGAAGGCTCCGACTGTGTGAGTTAGAACTTGGTGCAATACAAATATGAAGATAATCGTCAGGCAAGTTTCATACCTTGAAGACTTTGACCTGGCAGCCAGAAGAATGGACATGCTCCACGTATTCCCCATGTTCATTGATGGTGAAAGTGTCCAGCTGGATACGAAAGGGCACTCCTTTCTCCCCACCGTGCTTCCTGGGGGTGAACTCAGTGCTGATGCAGTTAACCTGAGGAAACATAACAGAAGACGGACTGTAAGTTTGCCACATATGTATTAACGGCCCCCCTCTAGACGTTTGACCAGAACCCATCTGTACCTGGATGAAAACAGAAGAGTTCTTGACAGGATCCCAGAGGAACTCAATGGTGTTGAGATGCAGAGGGTGTGAACGGGGCTCCAGTATCCCCACTGACAATGGGATATCTGCATATAATGCAATAATGAGTCAGTCAGTTCACATTTGCTAAAAAGCCCCTCAGAATATGTTTTGTCAATCAGCTTCTTGAGCGATGGGGTCCGAACTGAACAGACAATTTGGATCACAGCAAAAGGTGTTTCTTAGCCAGGTCGAACCAGTAACGATGGTCTATTGGTCGGTCCACTGCTTTGGTCCACCAACTTGGTCCCGACTGAAATATCTCAAAAACTATTGGATGACTTCCTTCAGAATGCTGAAGCTAGCAGTTAGCACAAAGCACTGCTGTGCCTAAGTACAGCCTCATAGAGCCGCTAGCATGGCAGTAGAAGCCTCGTCTTGTTTAGTGACAGACTTGTAAATAATACCCAAGGATGTTTTTTCAAAGCTTTCACTATGATTGTTACTTATTTGGATTTGGACAAAGTTGGACACTGGTGTCTGAGTCCAATCAGATTTTAGTATCAACTAATTGTAGCATGTCTAATCATCATTTAGTTTCATCAACTAATGGTAAGATCAATTTTGATGTTGCTAGCAAACTTAAGATTGCCTATGGAACTGCAAGACAAGTAGAGCCCCGTGAGCTAGCATCTGCTAGCATCAACTTTCACTGTATGAAGGTTATGTTCTGAGCTGTGGTCAGAGATGCTGCAGTCGTTATTAGATCGGTCTTTTGGTCAGTTGGTGGACACGGCGGTTACGTTCAGAGTAGTTATGCAGCTTTTTGTGACCCCCTTCGACCTGTTGTGAAGGTAATCTTTTGAGGCAAGAGATCTTTGTGGCGCTTCGGTGTTTGAGCTGGCATGCGCTGGTTTCCCCCTTGCTTTGGAAATGACCAAAGTATCTCAAGCCATCGGTGTCATCTTCCTTGTTTCGTCCAGTGAACGGTTACCTTGATGCGTCATGAGATCAAGCTGGTCGTTCCAGTTATTTGTTCTGCTTGAGTTTGCGGCTCAGCGCTAACTTTGTTGTTCCTAATGCTTTTTAAAGTTAACTGGAAGGATTTGTTGTAGATGCACAACTTCGTGTGAAAACTGAAGGATACCGGGAAACTGAGTTAAATGGCTTAGCCGCCATTTTGAGTGGCGATCAGACAAAGCTTAAACTTTGTTTTCAATGAAGTGTTTGGCGTGCTGCTTGTGCGTTACTGTGCACCTCACATTTTTGCTCTCTTTTACAACCTGATTTTTAAAAAAATGAAACTGAGAGTGTGGTGACTTTCGCTGGATACCCAGAGTTATATGACTTCACCTGCCAAAGTGGCCATGATGGCAAATCAGTGCAGTACTTGAGATTTCGGGTAATTTGTTTTCATTGATTTAAACTGTACTATTGACTATTCGTACAGTTCATGGTTTGTGTTTTCCATCTGCTAAATGTGCTCTCTCTCTTTTAGGCCTACTTTGGTCAGCAAGCAAGCACTACAATAGCAGAGTATGCAGATAAATGCCTTGCTCAACTGATCTGTTGATCTTTGTTGAGTTATCAGCTCATATGTCAGGACAGTAAACTCACCTATATCCAGGATTCGGTCTCCAGGTCGGTTCCACCTCCATCCCTCCAGCTGCTGATGCTCCATATACTGCAGTCGACGGTCATGAAACACCACGCGCACAATGCTCTGTGAACAGGCAGGATCAGTTTAGGCCAGAGCACAGCTATAACTCGCACATGGCCCAACAGCTGGACTGTTGGGCAAAGTGCAAAAAAGACTCCCTTCATTTATTCATCTAAACATATTGAGGACATTTCATTGAGCAAGGGTAAGTAGGTGGAAACTCCATCTCCATTCCAGATGCTCTTCATACTTAAAGAGAGCATCTGCATATATCCATGAGGGAAATGAGACACTGCCAATGAGCTACATGTGAGATGTAGCACTAACATTGACTTTCCAACATTAAATCAGGGCTCCCGCAGTCACTTGCACAACAAATTTAAATATCCCATGACATCATACCGCACTAGTGAGCGTAATTAAAAACTCCTGTTATACTGTACATTTTTCAACAAACTTTCTCTGATAAGACTTATGTTTTTTCCTTCCGAGTTGACAAAATGTAAACTACTTTCAAGTCTTGTGGGAACCCTGAACATGAAGACGTCTTCGTTCTGTCCACCGTATGTACTGCAGAGCAAGTAGCTGTTCTTATGAGCTTCTCAACCAACTGCGTGTTGGCTTATAACTTATCTTGTAACCATAACAATCAATAAATACATGCTATTGTCCCTGCTCATAGAGTGGGATTTTATTAAAGGGACACTCCATCGGTTTTACACGTGAAGTTCGGTTTGATCATCTCAAGGAGTACTTTCTTGAAGGACCGGTGTGTAGCATTTAGGGGATGTGGGGTAGTGGGCCTTTACTGTAGGAGGCAGTGTCCAGTGGCATTATGGGAAATGTAGGACCCCATATTTATGACCAATTATAGGGACTAAAAGTCAGGATATATTATCCTCTGCTGCTTTGATTTTGACCATTCTTTATTTAGATAGGTTTCTGTTTTATGAAAGTGCACTCCTAAAACACTGGAGAGCCTTTTCAGCAGCAACGCTCTAAAATCCTGCCAGGTGTGACGGCCCTCCATCTTTAGCAGGGCCTGCTGTGTGTATTGCTCTCCTGTCTCTTTGTCTCTC